ATGTATTGTAGTATAACATACATATTTATAACGTGTGGTAAAACTGTACTATGATAACAGTCTAAAACAAGAGAGCGTCTTTGAACAACCAAATTCAATTACAGCTGAACTCCTGAGTTGTACTAAGGGTTCTAATAAGCAACAAATAAAAGCTTTTACTAGCTAGCAACAGAATGAGAGCTACTGTGCTGTGCAAGCGATAAAGAGACAAATCTGGCAGTTTATCTCACTGGATTATACCATTTACTTAAATGGTAAATAAGTTTGTTCAAAGTAATGCTCATAAAAGCTAGCATAGAACTATTATGCAGCAATTATGATCAATGGGATTTTTAAATGTAAACATGTCACAAATTAGGCGGAAAGAGATAGACACAAAATGTGAGATTAAACAAATATTTCATTAAATTGTTAAGTACCATTTATTTAAATAAAGTAGTAACTGTTCCTTATTCCTTCATAGCCTATCCATTTTTTAAAGAGAAACCTCTGTCCTAATTGTGCCCTCTACATTATATAGGAATCTTTACATATAACACTTGTCTTTTCGGTGACTGACTTGACTAGTTTTATAGTCAAACACAAACTGTACCATATAAATGTGTACAGCAGAAAGTAAAGAGGATTTTCATAAAGTAAATGTTCCTTAACAAAATTATTTAACTTTTGAAAGCCAGTGTCCAATGTGTGAAAGGGACTTCTTCAAAGACACATCATTAAAATAATAATAATAGGTATGTTTGTTTTATAAATTCAACCTCTCAAATGCATTTTATTTTTCTGAAAATTAAAACCAATTGTTGAGAGTTATAGCAGTCAACTGCAAATCCTATTGATATGCACGTACATCACAACTAAAACATAATAAAGTCACCCCCAAAGCCTAAACACTAGATCTATGACGATTACTAACTTCTTTTCATAGCCATTCCATTTTTCTGAGTATTTTTCTTTTTATTTAACCTTAGGCATATCTAATAAAATCAAGAGTCTTCCAGGAGCTCTGCAGAGAGGAGTTTAACTAACCAATGATCTTTTCCATTTCCTTTCCATTTTAAAAAGCAATACAGAGAGAGAGAGTGCAGCATTTCCCTTACATAAGTGTTTTTGTTTTTATTCAGTAATGTTTTCAATACTACATCTTGCAAAGATGTGGATGATAAACGAGAACATCTGCTATGAAACCCACAAAGTTAAATATTACTTATTATTATGCAGCAAAATAAAGAATCTCTTAATCACTTTCAACTTACACTTGATTCACAAAATTCTAGCCTGAAACTTTAGACGACTAACTTGTCACAGTGTATGTATTAAAATATATAGCCGCCTACTTTTCAACGATTAAATGCAGTGAAAAAATAAAACAAAGATACTTAGACAAAGTAATACTATACCCCATATTTTAGAGCACAGTTTTTAAACATAGTGTACCTTAATTCAAAAACAAAGTTGTTTCCATAAGCTTGTATTCCAGAAAACTATTAATGTTGGTCCTAATTTGCAAACTATATTTTCACATAGCATTTGTAATGGCTTTTATTGTTTAATCTCTTCTGCATTTCAGTATTGGATACTATGGAAATATACTTATTTAGCAGGCTATAAATAATGAAGTTGGCATGTGCAATTGATATTTAGCATGTCTCACTGTAACTGTAAAAGCCTCATTATAGACTAGCAAATCATTTCTAACAAGTTCAACTGACAAATACTA